CTTTCTTTCTTTCTTTCTTTCTTTCTTTCTTTCTTTCTTTCTTTCTTTCTTTCTTTCTTTCTTTCTTTCTTTCTAAACTATAAAATAACTGGCACTTTTACAATAACCATTTTTATTGTACAGCCCTTCTTCCTCAGAGAGCTTAAATCTGAACGCAGGATTTGCAAATCTAATAAACATTTTTTTCCACAGTGGAACAGTTTTTAAATGTTTAAACTAAGGCACTGTTGATAAGAGAATGATCTATTGACATGCTCGTGTTCAGTGTTTATTGTGACGAATAAACAAAAGTTAAAAACCTGTTTATAGGCAGGCTTTTGAAGTGTTCGCTGATAACAGGCCGAACAGTTTTTCATCTCGTATGAAAAGCATGGTGTCCATTGTTTCCAAAAATCATTTTGACTTTTGATTTATCTGACCCCAGAACATTTTTCCACTTTGCATCAGTTCATTTTATATGAGGTTTTTTGGCCCAGAGAAGACAGCCCTGTTTCTGGATGGTGTTTACATAAGGGCCTTATTTTGCATTGAAGAGCTTTAACCTGCAGTTATGGATGACATGGTCAAATTGTGCTTACAGGCAATGATTTGTGGAGGTGTTCCTGAGTCCACACAGTGATGCTGAGAACAGAATCACACCTGTTTCTATTGCAATTAATTTTGTTTTACTTCCTGTACTGTGTGAAAATGAGAGAGTAATTATTATTTTTTGTGTTAATGCTAAATATTTAATTCATTGTATAGCTGCTGAGGCCAGAAGAAGTGGAAATGCTGGTGTGTGGGAGTCCAGAGCTCGACATGACGGCGCTACAGAAAGCTGCACAGTATGAAGGATACAGTAAAACGGACAGCACCATACGGTAAGATGCCTTAACCTTACTTACCAGAGTTGAAGTGTAACTAAGTACAAATACTTTGTTACTGCACTTAAATAGAATTTTTGGGTATCTGTACTTTATTTGAGTATTTATTTTTCAGCATACCTTTTACTTTTACTTATTACATTTTTACACAATTATCTGTACTTTCTACTCACTACATTTTTTAAAAAGGTAAGAAGTAGAAAGCTGTTACTCCTATTTTATTCTGAGTTGTTATTACTTAAAAAAAACTAACCTGATAAATTGTGTCTCCTGGATAGAGTGAATTTAATTGTGGTTGGATGAGAAGTATAAATATATAACATTCTGACACACTATTAGCTTGTACACAACCCATCACAGCTGCACTCCGCAAGAAAAAAATATTTTGTTGAGTAGTCACCTCCCAATAAATGTAATTTTGGAAAATATAATTGCTCACTTTTACTTTTACTTTTAATACTTAAGTAGATTCTGTGTCAGAAATTTACTTTTGATACTTAAGTAGAAAAATATCAGATACTTTAAGTATTTTACTCAAGTAATATTTTTAGATAAGACTTTAACTTGCCAAAGTGTTTTTTATGATAAGATACTTGTACTTTTACTCAAGTATCACTTTGAGATACTTTATACAACACTGTTCCTTACACACTTTGTTTTTCATTTTAACAGTTAAATCACATTATCATTCTCAAAAATTCAAAAATATTTATTAAAACTTAACTTGACTTTAAAATGTGGGCAAGAGTCTTTACTTGAAAATGAGACATTTTTGCCTGGGATGTTTTTTTTTAACAATCAGGCAAACAAGCTAACACTTGTTAGCCACAGATAATGTAAGTCATCCCTTGCTCACAGGTGACAACTCAGCTGCTGGTCTGTTGCACAACCTCAGTTATGTTGAACATTTATTTTTTTCAACTCGCCAGATGAGTGATCTACGCAGCCCAGCATTTTCAGTTTCATCTCATCTCATCTAAAGAAAACTGACTGAATTTTTTTACACGTCATGACATAAAGAAAGCTCGTCAGAGTGAAGTAAGCGCGTCAGGTGGAATAAAAGATATTTTCTGGAAAGAGAAAGGATACCTGTGGTGCGTTATGCTTTTCTGCGGAGGTCTGAAGCTGCAGTTCATTGTTTTACTCCTGCATGAGGAGAACAAGAATAAGGGATAAGGGTTTCTAACAGTGGTGTCTCACTATTTCACTAATCTGCAGGTGGTTGTAACCTGAAGCAACTGACCTACAAAGGGAGGACAGGAAAACAGTGTGAGCGAGGGTCAATCAATGCTAATTTTGTTAGAGTTCCAGTGCACATTTATACTGCTGTTTCTGTCACGATTTTTAGTTTGCTTCTTCTCATGTAGCTTTGAAAAAATAAACATATGCAAATATATACAACCATACCATACCATACCATACCATACCATACCATACCATACCATACCATACCACACCGTACCGTACCATACCATACCATACCATAC